TCGCCGTCGCGATGAAACAACTTGATTGGGACGGGCGTGGGAGGAGCGGCCTTAGAGGTCGACCACCAAGGGAAAGGCATAAATCCACGATGGGGGCGGCATACTGCAACGCGAGGCTCGCAGGGCTGGTGCTGACTTGGCCGTAGGCTGCAGTATTTAGCAGACGCGCGAGTGACTGATGACGGATGACGACGATGATGCGTGATGGCGGAGATAGTGCAACGTCGTCTAGTGTCTCATGACGATAAAGCACCTCGATGAAGGACGGTCGTCGTCTTGGTTGCCTCCACTTTCTGAACTATAAAAAAAAACTATTTTAATTTGACCAGGTAAAGCCCACTGAGCTATACATCTTTTTCAGAAGTGCCCTGGCTATCACAAATGATGGCTCAACGGGGAGTGGCTTATCATCACCACGTTGAAATTTAGAGCAGCCAAATGCTCTGGAACGCGAGACGTTAATTCTAAACGTGGAGGGGAAAAAACGGAGGACACGGAGAAAAATCCACGCTACCTCGGGGAGAGAGGCACGCAAACTTCCAATATAGAACAGGTGTCAGGGTCGGGATGGAACCCGCGACCTCCTGTATGCCGGGCGAGGTAGTTAACATCCCGTCACCCTATCGCACACCAGTGCCCGGCCTTGTGGCTCCACAAGGCGTTGGACAATACCGTTGCACCCTATGTTTACAGCACAATGGGGAAGCGTGTGCATCTCGTAGATGTTTTTGGTTTTTTCCCATATGGAAAACTCAGTGGTGAGTGATAGCTTCCTGTTGCCCCCCCCCCCCCTCTTAACAACCAGTACCAGTCCAGTTTGGTGAAGTATGGTTAAACGACCCCCACAGTCTGAGGAGGCCTTCAACGAGCATTGTAGATTGTTGAATGGCTGTAAATTATGCAGAATGTATATATTCATTACGTATCTGGCCCAGTTCTAATGCCAGTACATGCTCATCTCGGCCTACCATTCATCTGGATTTAATAGAAACAAGCACCACTTTGTCCCGTGCAGAGACTGAACACTGTCATGAGAATTTCCACCACTGCATCAGGGCTGACAGTGTTTAAACAAGCAGGCATTTTTATTTACCTCGTGCTGTATGAGCATTGTGCCGGTGTTTGTCTTGTACTTGTAAATTACTCTGAGTCTTGGTTTACGTTGAACTCTTCGCGACACGTAAATACGCATTTCGCATATCACAGAGATTGTCTGTAGAAGTATGAGAATGGAAACGGTTTAAAGGTGCAGTGCTGCAATTGCTTGCTCATGGCACCGCTGCGGAAGGACTTCCACGAGAGGGTGTCCTAGATGGCCCCTCTAAAGTGTGTTTTTGGCCTACCCTTCCACGCTCTCCAGGCGCCCTGCATAGAGGTGGGGGTACCTACACTTTACCCCAAACTACCAACTGCAGTGGACAGTAACAGTACCCATTCACACTGTTGGGTGGACAGAAGCGGTGGGAGTTGAGGAACGTAACCATCGTGACTGCCACCTCGGGAGATGGAACCAGCGGCTTCTGGCTTGCCAGTCAAGTGTTGCTAATCGTTAAGCAATGGCGGCATCCTGTAGCCATACTGAATATTCAAAGTAGCCAAATTTGTCAGATTTAGCATTACTTGGCTGTCTGTCGTTTAAACTCATAGAAAATGTATTAAATCTGATGCTGTACTGCACTGGGTCACCCGGAGCGTGCCCGATTTCAGCAGCTCTCACAAGCTAAGCAGGTGTGAGCCTGGAGGGTGTATGCATGGGCAGCAATCTCCCACTAAAAAAGGTGTGTTCGGTGTTGTGGGCAGTAGTGGGCAGCGGAGCAAAATCCGTTGCTGTTCTGTACTCCTCCCACGTTCACCAGCCCACACTGACCAGCACGGAGAAGTATGGCCAAATAGGTCACTGTCTGCGCCATGTGGGGAATGCTGCCAAACGGACTGTACATGCACACACGTTCACATGTAGAGTTCACGTACTGTACAAATGAAAAGCAACTCTTGTGTGTGAAAAGGGGCTTTAAAGGCATAGTGGTTTATTTTAAAGGTAAAGTTACTCAAGTCTGAATAGGCCTATGGTACAGAATAAAAATGTTCTGTGTGCGGTGTTATGCAATATTATCACCGGTATCATTGTACTGTATGCTGGCCGGGGTCGTGGCAGAGTGGTTGATGCACGGCGCGATAAGCTCGACCGCCTAAGTTCAATTCCCGGTCATGGTTAACTTCAGTGGTGAACGAATGTCTGAACGAGTGCTGGGCTCGCCTCTCATCAAACCCACACTGACCAGCGGACCGTCACAGCACTCGAATTGTCAACGTTGTGGGTTTACTCTCCAACACACAAGCGGTGTGCTGAACTCGTAAGGGGCCGTCCATAAATGACGTCACGCACCTCGGGAGGGGGGGGGGGTCAGACATTTGTGATGATGTGTGACGGGTTTGAGAAATGTGACGTCACATCAAAATACGCAACTTTAAATATAGTCAATACGTTCTACTTAATTAAATAGACTTTTTAATAAATGTTTTCTCCTACAAGTGCAGCGGCACATTAAATACGCACTACAATGACAATATTTTAAAGCGATTTGTGTTTTTTTGGGGGGGGGCAGAGCTTTGTGACGTCATATTTGAGGGGGGTCTGACTTTTTGTGACGAGGGGGGGAGGCAAAAAACGTCCAAAATCGCGTGACGTCATTTATGGACGGCCCCTAACCCAAAAAATACATCGTGGATAATATTGGTCGTTAAAGTCCTACGTGTTAAACTAAACAACAAACATCCACCAGTGGACGGATGAGCAAGGTTGGCTACGTACGGTGCGAAAGAAGTTCAACATCCATACGTATAAGTTGATGTGATAAACACATGTTGCGTTGTATCATTTTTACATTCATAGATGCTCATGTGTAGCTAGCCTTGAGTGATTGAGTAAAGTGTATTGCAATTATATGCTTGGGAAATTTGTTACTACTTTTAAAATATTTACGTAAGCAATTAAAGCGTAGCTTGACTGAATACCATTGCTTGTCTTTACTGTACTTATGTTAAAAACCAGTGGCGCTGTCGCGTAGCGCTTTAGGTATGCCCTGGTGAAATACAAACGTTACAGGATCTAATTCAGAAGAGGGTATGTCGGTGCAAGTACGTGAACTCCTCTACTTACGAACATTCGACTTACGAACTTGCAGAGATACAAACAAACCTGTCCCTATGTCCAGTTGCCTGCTCAGACCGAGAGTCGTAAGTTCGACCGCCGCGCAATAGATGGCGGTGGTGGCATCTCCATCTGCAGAACGTGAAGAACCAGTGGCATATACATCTACAAGAGATGATACAACTTTTAAAGCCATTCCCTGTGTTTAGTGTGCTTGCCGTACAACGTGTTTGGAATCGACGGGAGTAAAGCTGAACTTACGAACAAATCGACTTATGGACAGACCTCTAGAACCTAACTCGTTCATAAGCAGAGGAGTCCCTGTATGGAATTTATCTTATCCATAACATTTTATTTACTTGTTAACATTATGCATACGGATTTATGTGTGTTACGTGCAGTGTAGCGCCTCGTAGCAATGGGCGTATTATCCACGACTCTTATTATCCGCGGTCCCAAATCAGTCTGCAGAAGAGGGGTTACTGAGAATTGGCCAAGATTGTCGCTGATCCATCCTACTATCCGTGCCCATCATGAATGAGAGAATCTGCACGTGAATTTCTTCCTATTCGCGGATAGAAGTGTTTCGTAAGTAGTCGCCGCCGCAGCAGCAGCTGCATTCGCCCGTGTTTATCCACACGTTTGCAGATATAAGAAGAGTGGCTCGGACGTGGTTGCAGCGGGTGCTTTAGTCGTGGCACATTATCCATCTTAGTTTTTACAAACAGCGGCATTTGCGTGGCAAATTTGTTCTCTTCGCATTCATCCGCAAGTAAGGGAAGGCATTAAGAACTGCTTTTTGTGTTCAGTTTGTTGTCTTTCCCTGCACCTCCGATTAGCGCAGGTGCGAAAGAAGCGTTCATACGCGGTTGTTGCAAGCGCTCGATGAATCCTGTCCTTATGAAAGGGGAAGTCTTCCCTGTATCAGGTTTCTTTGCTGAGGAACTGGCAGTCTTTTGCTGGGTACAAAATTATTCCATTCTCTACCGTGGTTATTGTTACATTTCTTGGGAGTGTACTCTAAGCACTGCATTTGTTGAATAACAGCTTTCCTCTTCTTGGTTCTTTCGGTAAAGTCACGTAGAAGGGAAGTAATAAAATAATAAAAATAAAACATAATAAAACAATTCTCACGACGTTTCGGCCACAACGCAAGCAGCCGTCCTCAGGTGAAAACCAGGTCCGTCGAGGCGACAGAGTCTGAATGAAACAGCACACGAGCTTGGAGCATATATATAAGCTGGGCGCATTGACAAAGGAATTTGCATATTAAAAGGAATTTAGCATATGTTTCATTCAGACTCTGTCGCCTCGACGGACCTGGTTTTCACCTGAGGACGGCTGCTTGCGTTGTGGCCGAAACGTCGTGAGAATTGTTTTATTATGTTTTATTTTTATTATTTTATTACTTCCCTTCTACGTGACTTTACCGAAAGAACCAAGAAGATGAATCCCTGCAGTCACGAAAGCTTTAAATCGAAATTTAACAGCTTTCCTGCTGAGCCGTTTGTCGAAAGAAAATGCTTTCCATTTTTGTTGGGATAGAAAGGGTAAAAGTAATCAAAATGTTCCTAGTTCACGTCATCATTGTTTGGGTCATTGGTTATGTCCTTGTCATATAGTTTTAGTGTAATGAGGGTTTTTAATTTTATTATTTTGGGCAGCAAATTCTAGAGAGAACTGGAGAGCGCTCGGCCCGTGTGTACGAGGCTTTTGTTTGTGGTTAACAGTTACGGCTGCTGTAAGTGTGTTTTTATAAAAATGCGTTTGTCTTGAAATGTTTAGGCAACATAGAAGCTGTTAATTGTACGTATGTTTGCGTGGTGAACTTCTTTCGCACCGTACGTAGCCAACCGTGCTAGTCAGGAGGTGCGGGGGAAGGACAACAAACTAATCACAAAAAGCAGTTTTAAAGAAAAGAAGCATTCTCCGCATGAGCTGAGCTGCACACTGGTAGGATATGAGTGGTGATGTTTTATGGGCACGGCACACACACTGCATTCTTTATCAAGAGTAACTGCACTGCACTATCGAGAGCTTTTACCATTTAACTTAAAGTATTTCATAGCCGCGCACGTAAGCCAATGCATGAAAGAGTGTAGGCATCAGCCATTTAACTGGTGCCCTTTAATGGCCCAGCCAATAGTGTTTTTTTTATGAAAGTTGCATTGCTGGTGGAGACATGTTTTGTTTGCATTAGGGCGGCTGTCGCTGTGGGTTTTCTTGTGCAAATGCAGAGGATATTGCAGACGTACGCCTGGGCAAACCCATAAGGACTACGCAAGCGCGTGCGCTGACAAAATCTGAATACACGAGGCGCTGGGAATACTGCGGTGATTTAAGTGGAAAATACAACGGCGGCGCGCGTCCGACCGTCACATATCTGCCTCGACCAATTAACCACCCACGCCAGTGCTTTTATCATTCGGAGTCGCATGCGCACGAGAAAGAACTTGTGCTTGTGGATTCAGTCTGCAAGCACTGCACTGTGATGACCGTTTCCTGTACAATTTGCTAATTCGGCTATGCCCTGGCCTTTTTTTAGTCTCTGTGATGCGACGATAATGAGACACTTAATGGAGTAGAAACTCAAGTCTGAACCGAATGTGACCTGTGGGTAATTTGACTGCTGGACCGTTGATGTGTGCTACCAGTGGTGATAATCACCGGGCCATGTAACAGCTCACCTCCCTGAGTTATCTTCGTGATTCGAATTAATTAAAAAAATGCTATTGATTTGATTCAAGAATCAGTTATTTTAGGAACATTTTTTTACCCTCTCCTTAGAATTGTATCTCGTTTCATTCGTGTTGTTCGATGCCTCGGCCTTAATGTGATTTTAGCACACAACGTGCATGGAATTTGCATGTTATCGTGAAATAATTGATGCAACGTTTGAGGCTTGTATTGTGAGCGTAATAATCAATTATAATAATTGGGTCCCTCCGCTCTCGGGACTATCACGGCCCTTGTCTCGGGTAAGGACCACCGAGCTCTCGAGCTATAGAGCTATAGCTCAGTGGGCCTTACCTGATAAAATAAAAAAAATAGGCTATTCTCTACTCTACGTCATCTACTTTAGTTATTTGTGTTTTCCGTTTACCCCCTTTTAGCTTTTGGACAACAACTGTCATCTCGCTCTATTATACGGAGGCTTCGGTGGGAGGTTATTTATGCAACGCCCACGTCGATTTACCTGGTATTTAAAACTAGTCGCGATGCGATGGCTGACTTGGCCTGCTGACATCTAATTGTTAAGCCAGTGCCGTCTGGGTTCCTGAGGTTTCATCCTGGGAATCCCACTCGAGATTAAAAGTGAGATCTCTTGTTTTGTTGTTGTTTTTCAGCCGGGCAGTTACTCATTTATGAAAGTTCAACTTCTAAAGGGTTATATTTGGCAGATCAAATGGCAGTGTCTGCTCAGCTGATGTCTGTGATTGGGGCTGATTTGTGAAAGAGACTCGACCTGGGATGATTCGCCCCCTGTTGCAATTCGATGAATTATTCCTAAAAATTATAGATCGTGACGTTTCGATCGCAACACGAGCAATCATCTTCAGGTGAGACGATCGCTTGTGTTGTGATCAAAACGTCGTGATGTATTATTTTTCTATCTACGTGACTTTACCGAAAGACCACGAAAGCTTTAAATCAAGAGCTATTCCTAAAAACTGAAACGAGACTAGATATATATACTACATGTATATTTTTTACCAGGTAAGGCCCACAGCTGAGCTATGTAGCTCTTTTTTTCAGAAGTGTCCTGGCCGAAAATGACGGCTCAATGAAGTGGCTTATTGTGTGGACATTTATAGCAGCCAAATACTCTAAACGCACTTTTCTAATAAGCTATTAAATACATTGAAATGGTCATAATAACACAAACATTTTAATTGGTTATGATAAACATAAAGTAAATAAAAATAAATATGAAAGTATTCAATAATACAGTAGGTTATAAAATGAACTCATCACTTTCTCAACGCTTTCTTTCTCTATCTGATGGAATTCGCGGATAGCAAGTTCGTGAATAACGAGGGAATACTGCAGATACATTGTTACTTGCCTAAGAGATGCACTTTGATGTTACTTGCGGGGGTAATGAGCAGTGTTGTGGGGCCTTCTGTAGGCACCACTCAGTGTGAAAGTCCGTTGCTTCGAGCATGGATACTAAGTTATTCAAAAGTAGCTTTTAATAAAGCTTCTTCTAGCGGTATTTGCAAGGCACATGGTTACAACGTGTACCGTGCACTGCTTATTAAGAACCACGGGGAGGACATTTGGAAGCGGTCCACATGATTATACAACTCTCAAGGAAATAAAATCACTGCAGTTATAAACTGCAGCCTCTCACCATTTAAATTAATCCTATTAATAATATTAAATATTCAGTTTTTCATCACATCCTCTTTTTTCACAATCGTGTTTTACTTAAATTCGACGTGCTTATTCTGAAAGGCACGGATTAGTTCCCCGATGTATGATGTTGTCGCGGGATGCTGCCGTGGTGTCAGGGTTATGGAGATCCCTGGTTCGATCTCCGACACAGCACTTTAAAACAATGGGTAAAAGTAATTGTATTAATCTCCCCCACCTCTTGTTCACCGCAGGTCTGCCTATCAGCAATCTGCTGTCTCTGTGTAAAAAAAAAGTGCAATGTAGTAAGTACAACGTAAAAGTCTTCGTTTCAAATATCCCTGATAAGATGCAAGCATGATTGTGCCCCGCAGTGGTCGGTGGATGACTGACCGTTGTCACGAAAAATAATCGTGAAAGTAGCCTCAGATCAGGTTTCATTGTCACCTGCAATGGAGTCCCTGATCTTAAAGTCCCTGATCTTAAAGTCCCTGATCTTAAAAAAAAAAATTGGTCGCACGTTCCGAGTTCACGTGGCTTTCATTGTCGGGATGCTGTCATCCGATTTATTGTAAAGCTGCATTTATAGAATAATATATTTACAAGCGATGAACTTATCAAGAATAATATGCCGTCGTCAATTTCACAGGCATCATATGTTGAAGCCAAGGCTTGCAAGGGCCACTTGGGTCTCCTGTGAATATTTTCATCTTCCCCGGCTGTTGTGAGAATTTTGCACGGAAAGGCTAAAACAGCCCCTTTCCTGTTTTAGGCAGCCCCAAGCCTCAGCTGTAACATTCATACATTTAAATAGGCTCTAATCGGGGCTTATCGAGTGCTACTGCATGGAGGTGCTAAGGGCATATGTTGCGAAGGGCCTGCTTCTTGTGACCCACGCGTGCTCTCCTGCCTCATCAATCATGCACTTCAGGTTTATTTCTTTTAAGCAGGTAAGAATTCAAGAGACCAGGATTATCTTGTTTGCAGGAGTGACCTGGGACATTCGTCTGCCAGGAGGGTTCGAAGATTGCTGCTGCTGCTGTGTGTGTGTACGGTGGCGAGATGTTCACTACTGTCTGGTATGCAGTAGGTCGTGTTTTCGATCCCGACCATTAAGCCTGTACATGTGGAGTTTGCATGTCTCTCTCCCCGTGGTTGCTTGGATTTTTCTCTGGATCCTCCGGTTTTTCCCTCCACATTTAGAAACATGCGTTTCGAGTATTTGGATGCTATAAATTTCCACGTGATAAGCCACTTCATTCAGCTATCATTTGTGACCAGGTCGCTTATGAAAATGAGCTATATAGCTCAGTGGGCCTCACCTGGTAAAATAAAAATAGTTTTTAGTTTCTATAGTATAATCCCAATTGAGTTATTTGCGGTGTCATTTTTTTGGATTTTTTCAATTAATAACGTCAGTGGATCTTTAACGACCACTGTGAAGCAGACGCACGTAGAATAATAATTATAATAATCATAATTCTAATTATTAATAATTATGCTAATAATTCTAATTATGATTCCATCTACTACGGTTAATATCCCCGCAGTAATAATTGTGACGGCTTCTGCTTTCGAACCATGACCCTCTCTGCAACAATCACTACTGCTGGGGGCCACGTCACCACCCTTGTTAGTCATTGAAGATGCTTTTAGAGGTCCAGGCTTCTCCTTGCGTACGTAGATCTCGTTTCATCTTGACCATCTGCCAGAGACTTTGTGCATCTTCCTCTTTGGGTCTGAATTATGGAGATGTCATTTTATGAACTGGCCTGGTTTGATATGAACAGCTCGATCTGTCTTCCCGTTATGTGCTGTGTCACGCTGGATCACAGCTGCTCTCTCCGTGACTGACCTCTGACCAAGTAGGACATGTGCATTGGTATTTTTTTTTTCTTTTTACAAGGCATATAAAAGAATATTCTTCACGTGTCAAGTTTGTGCAGTCCATTTGTCAATTCTCGTAGTCAAAAGCACGATTGGTTTTATTTGCACGATTGCAAAAGCAAGTACAACAACATTTGGCTGAAGGTCTTTTTAAGTTTGTTGCCCAATCCATATGGACATTTTACTCCAGTCCAAAATGACATTTTCTATATCTCAGAATTAGCAGGCATAGTTGTGAATGATCTTAAATATTGAATTTTCATTGTCTTTGTGCGTTGGTTTGGCACATCAGGGTGTTGTTACCTTGGCCTGCCATTATCCACTCCTTCTAGCCTTGCTTTTTTGATCGCCATGCAACAATGCATCTATTCAACGATTATTATTTGGCTCATAATTTATTAAATGAGTCGTGTGTGCGTAAGGATCAATTGTTGGTGATTTATGCAATTGATGTGTGAATGTAACACAAGCTCATGGTAACAAGGGCACGTGACTAGATGTAAAATATTCCATACCAGGTAGACAAACATAACGACATTATAATCGAGGTAAATAGTACAAATGAGTGACAATAAAAACGAGATATAATACATTTGAGACAGACAACAAATGAGATAGGCAGTACAAATTGGACCGACAGTATAAACGAGGCAGCCACTGTAAACAAAACGGACAGTACCAATTGGGGCCGTGCAAATGACAGACAATACAAAGAAAACAAACTAAACTAAAATGTTTTTATTTTACCAGGTAAGGCTCACTGAGCTTTACAGCTCTTTTTTTCAGAAGCGACCCGGCCACAAATGTTAACTCAACGAAGTGGGCTTATCATCATGTGGAAATTTATAGCGGTAAAATACTCTAAACACGTGATGTTGATTCTAAATGTGGAGGGAAAAACCGGAGGACCTGGAGAGAAATCCACATGACCACGGGGAGAGAGAGAAACACGCAAACTACAATTATACAACAGGCATCGGAGTCGGGATCGAATCACATGACCTCCTGCATACCAGTCGAGGGAATTAACATCTCCTAGCCACCATGGCACCCCTCAGTGCCCCCCAGCGCAAGTTAAACGGACAATACAAATGAGATAGACAGGGTGGTGAAGTCCCCTATGTCATTTCACCGCTAGATGAAGGTCGTGCACCTTGTTGGTTATGAGGGTTTGACCATACTTCACACCGATCGGTGTGGGTTAGTTTGAAGGCAGTTTGGGGGCATAGAACGGATTCAGACGTCAAAAGCTAACGTCAAACGTGGCCGGAAATTGAACTCGAGAAACTGGGATCATGGCACATTGCGTTAAATACCTTGCCACTGCCCTCCCGTTCAGCTTGTTTGTCATCTGGAAATAACAGCTATAAATTGTTGTCTTGAATTGTGGTGGTCAAGTGGTGGTGGTCAACACTCGGAGCCGTTTGTGTGTACGAGTGAGTGTGACTTGCATGCCCTCTGTGCGTGTTTGCCTGCCGGCGCTGTGAGCGGGAGGGAGGTAGAGGATGGCTGTGGTCAGCCTCGGCAGAGTTCAGTTTGCGTGGGAGCACGTTAACGTGCCAACATGCGAGGATGTGACGTGGGCCGACTGCGCGTGTCATGCTTCGTGTGCTACGTGACACTTGAGAGCCCCGGGCACGCGGGCCCCAATACCAACGAGGCGGTACAAAGAAAACGAACAGCAATTGACTTCTGACACAGCATCGTGACAATTCATCAAATTGCTTGTGGGTGTGGCTCATTAACGTGCCTTCTTTATTAAGTCTCAACCTGACCCACCTGGGCTTAGTCTCAATGTTTCTGCTGCTGATCGTTGGCCCTTCCCTGCCCTGTCCCAATATTCTATCTCACGAGGCATCCCCATCCTACCGGGCAGGACACGCTTAACTCCAACTTGTCGCCCCCTCCTTTTGCCGCTGAATAGCCGGAGCGGAGTGAGGTGGAGATCTTTATCGGCGCGAATTTTTGGTTCATTACTCCATGCCCCCTCTACAACCATCGTTGGGAGGCATGGCAGGGTGGTGGCGCAGCGGTAACGCTTGTCTCGCGGCAGGCAGGGCCTGGGTTCGACGCCCAACTTCGGGCGCCTTTATGCGTGGAGCTTGTTCGCTCTCCGCGTGTTCTCCATGGGTTCCCTTCGGGTTCTCTGGATGTCTGCCGCGTGCCAAACTTTTTCAACGTAACTGGAATTGGTTAAATGTCCCGGTGTTAAAAAATGACCGGCCAATGACTCAATTGGGGTTGCGTGTAGCAACATCGTCCGGTGAAAGTGAGGCTTTTGTGGGTAAATAACGTGAGATAACAGTCGTGATTGCATATCATTTAAAATTACGTATCATTCAGAATAACGATTATTGTTTACACAAGCACCTTCCCATGCTCAATTAGTCCTGGGGTAATTGGACCATACTTCACCATGCTGGACCATGCTGGACCATACTTCACCATGCTGTACCGTACTTCACCATGCACACGGGTCGGTGAAGGTGGTGACCATAGACGTGGGAGCATAGAAGTACCGTACTGTACAGCGCAGCAATAAATTCATAGCACTGCTCTCTCCTGCCCACAATGCACTAGAAACATAATGAAGTAAACACGTACAATTATATTACATAATGAATAATAAATACTAAAATTAATCTTTTACCGTCTCTCAAACCACTTGTGGGTTGTTTACCATACTTCACAACGCTTGTTGGTGCGGTTTCCCAAAGGGGAAGGGGTAGTGACGTGCTGTCAATTCGGAGTAACCCCATTTAATAATTACTCGAGTCATCCCACTTGAATATCAATAAGACACGCAATGCGCAGCAATACAGCCTCTCGACTGTCAATCTCGTCACTGTTTCACCGCGTGCGGCTGAGAACTCCATCCTACCTTGCTTCAACGCTGCTTCCCGTCCAAAACGCGGTGTGGATTTTTAACTGCCCGTGATGAAATGCCGCTCGCCACAAATCCCGAAAGCGGAATGACTTTCGCCGAGTTAAACTATTAAATGAAACTAAAACTAAACTGTTTTAAATTTAGCAGGTAAGGCCCACTGAGTTATCCAGCTCTTTCATTTCATAAGCGACCTGGCCCCACAAATGAGGTGCGGGAGTGGCCTTGGAATGCCCGGCTTTAGATAACGAAGCCTGACCATCATTTTGGATGATCCGAGTGCAACTTTTTTTAAACCTGTAAAATGTTTACCCGTGTGAGAGTTGCACGATAATATGAATTTGGTTTCATTCGCATGTTTGGAGTGAACTACGACACGCTGCCGAGTCTTACCAGTGGCGCTTTTCTCTGCAGATGAATTCCCATGGGCCTGCCTGTACCTGCCTAACGGGATGAAGCTCTGTGGGGAGACCCGACCTCCAGGTGAGTCCAGATATTTCTACGTGTGTGTGTGTGGTGATCCCAGTGTCTCCACATATAAATACAATGCATTGCAGGTCGATTGACCTATTCATTGGATTTTCCGATCAATATTATTCAGCAGCATTTTTCAAGCAAGCAAACTTTGGACCGGTCGTCATCCCTTCTGAGGGACATGTCCTGCCCATGTTCCCTCTTTTCTGGACATGAAGTCTCTATCTTGTGACCTCTCACAAACTGCAGACACAGCAGGATATGTATGCCCACGGCAATTATTATATTTCCCACATACATACAATTATTCGAGGTGTATTTGTTTAGCAGACTTGTACGCGAGTGACTTTTGCTTTGTTAATTTTCCCATGCTTTCCTGTAATTCATTTCCATCGGTTGTTGTAATAACTATGTCAACAGGAAGTTCGAGATGGCTAATGCTTTGTCCGTTCACGTTTATGCGTTTAATCCTCCAGTCCAGTGTTCAGAAAATGTCTAGTATTGCTGCCTTAAATGGCCGTGGTGAGAGCGTATCTTCTTGCCCGACTCCTCGTCTGAGTCGTATTTTTCCACTCTCCGCCGTCTAAGTACAGTGGTTCCTTCTTCACGAACAAAGTTTTGATCATTTTATTAAGATGTTTGCGAGTGATATGCACAGCTGGCTTGGCTCATCGCTCCGATCGCCGAGCTGGCATCACCCGAACCCCTGGGTTTCAAGCCCGGGCTACAATACGTGATGAAACGGAGTTGTTGAGTGTTTTTAGCTCTGCACTTTATTTTGGATACATTTCAGCTCCAAGGATTAAATAAAAGCAACAATCTCACAGCAGGGGTGGTGGATGGGAATAAGAAGGGAACTCTTTGGGGAGAAGTCCGGTGAAGAAAATCTGCGACGCGTGGGGGCGCACCGCTGTGCTGCGAGGTTACCCAGTGGACTCGGTGTCTCGTGACGAGATGCCAACAGCACAACAGGATTTACATCGGGCAAAATAAGAACAAAGGAAGCATCGGCTTATAGTTGTAGTAGTTTATTTGAAGTACCCTGTGAACCAAGGAGCTCTTAAGTCGGGTTTCAGCAACAAAAAAACAACGCCACCGCTTCTCCGACATACGCAGAGGCTTGTATTGTGAGAGGCTTGTATTGCCACGTCGTTTGTTTATGCTAGAATGCCATGGTCAATGGCAGAAAGCCTTTCTTAAAATTCGGCTCGCCAACGCGGTTTATTGGTCTCTGAAATGTCCATTATTTGGTTCCCTACGATTTGGAGGCTATGCCCCTACAGCGGTCTGTGCCTGTGATCAAAAACACTAACCCGTCCGTGGATGTTTAGGAAGACATCTGACTATGCTTCTTTTGAATCCACAGTACTAAACATGGCTTAGAACCTCGGGCCAGACGGACCGTACGTTACGGCGAATGCAAGCACACGACTTGGCGCTGTGCAGCATTCTGTGTGCGAAACTGGCTTGTGGAGTATTGGCCTTTGAGGTCATTTTGAAATATCGCATCCCAAAGCTCGCCCCCACAGTTGGCCCTTGCCGATTGCTTTAAAACCTTTGTTCTACATTTTTTTACGACCAATTCTGGCAGTGGCTGATAAGCTGCTATCTCCAGAGGCAACAACCTTTTCGGAATCCTGCCTTGCCCGTGACGTGACAAAGGAGGTGGCTCATTTTCAAAAGACAGAGAGAGAGAGAGAGGGTCCATGTTTGTCAAGCCTTGCGCACTGCAAGGTGGAGATTAAAGCGGAATTGTTGGTGCTTGGATGGCTTTGGGTGGCTGCTGGGATAGAGAATGCTTTGGTACGGAGTGAGGGCATGAGGCCATTGGTGAGTGGAATCCTGCAACGCAGCGATGTTCACGAGAGATGCTCTCGCGTCCGTCAAAGGAGAGCGGGTGCTTTTGGGAGAGCCGGCCGCGCACGGCACGGCAGAAGCGCTCTCTGCAGCTGCGCAGGGGTGATGCACAGGCGTCGAAATAAAATCAAGCCTGCAGGTAAAGTGTCCTTTCCATAAGATGTCGAATGATGTCGGTGCGGATGGGCACGTTTTTTGCACGCGTGTAATTGTTCTGCTGTTATGTGAATTCTAGATTTTAATGTGAAAATCATGTGCGACTCGTATGATGAATATTTCTGTCAAGATAAACTAACCTTCATATTTTTTGTATGTCCATTAGTCCTACATTATGTGAATTCGACTCTGCTTATCTGTATGGCTTTATGAACAAGTTGAGTATGTGGTAAATCATGTAATCAAGGCTATCATAAGCGACGGAATATGATTCCTGTGCTTATTAAAAATGCCACTACTCTCAAGAGGCATACTCGGCAGGGTGGTGCGGAGTGGTGTAACACTCGTGCCTCACGGCAAGAAGGGCCTGCGTTGGACTCCCCGCTTGGGTGCCTGTGTGTGGAGTTTGTGTGTGGAGTTTGTGTGTTCTCTCCCCCTGTTATGCATGGGTTTCCTCCAATAGCTAAACACACACACAGAATATAGCAGCTGGTATTGGCCAAGCATTCCAACATAGCAGTACAGGAACTGATCCTGCCCTGTGTCCAGTAATTAACCGGAGTATAAATATTCTGCCGTGTTTTCCGGTTGCGTCCCTCCCAACAGTTATTTCCAATTCTTCCCCGAATTTGTTTTGCTCGTAATTTGTCTTGAGGCAAACGTTGCATCGATGGCGAAAAGTGTTCACCGTCGCAAGATTTGTAGACAACATCGTTATTATATCGTTATTGTGACGGCTGATGGAAATTAACTAAAAATAATCGGTTCATCGAAATAGAAGTCATTTTCTGGATATCCCGGCAGTCGGTGTGCCAGTCCTTGAGTTAGTTTGGACAGGGTCACATGTGAACACACGATCAGGACGGTGTTCATGTGCGAACATGGGAAGGGCGGCGTTCATGCATGACGCAGTCGGAACGTGTCTGTGACCGCTTGTGAAAATGGGGCCGAACGTCAGTGCTCAAGCCCTCATTTTTAAAGACCTGGTGTTTTAGTTTGTGAGCAGAAGCCACTGTCGAGTTACAGCTCAAATTGTAAACCTGTAAAGTTACCACAGCAGCAAAGTTGTCACCAGTTTGTAACTGTTCAAATTACTCCTGCAGATTGATTAAAAAAGGTGATGGGCCTGATTAATGTGTTGGCAAAAAGTACTTTTTTGCCAGTATCAGCAGAAACACTCCAAAGACAACATTGGACATCTGCCGGTCTTTCCACCTTACAGTGATGGCAACTGTCTTTCCGTAAAAACATTCATTATGGCCGTCAACTCTGGCGGGTCAATAATGCGGTTAAATTAAGTAAAAAAAAACAAGCTGGCAAGCCACACTCTTAACAGGAGCCTGAGTTTAGATTTCTGCGCGAAATGCGCATGGAAACACGCAAGTGCACAGACGGATGATCGAACGCAAAGCGACGGTGCGTAACCGATCAACCACACGCTCGCCTTCTCGTGCCCGAGTGCTGCCACAGTTACAAAAATATAAACAATGCTTTATGAATGTATTTTTGCCATCAATATTGATAAAACAAACTATATTTTTGGTTTAGGTAAGTTGTGAGCTTTAGTTTCAAAACAATTTGTTTGGATCTTCTTGGTTCTTTCGGTAAAGTCGAAACATCGTGAGAATAATTTTATTATGTTTTATTTTTATTATTTTATTACTTCCCTTCTACGTGACTTTACCGAAAGAACCAAGAAGATGAATCCCTGCAGTCACGAAAGCTTTAAATCGAAATTTGTTTGGAGGTTTTATATAAATATATTTTGGGAAACCATGTGAAGTGTCCTCGGTTTGACGGATTACGCATGATGGCACTATGCAGCCAAAGAAAGTAGCCCAGATGTTGACTTTTCCATTTTTATACTGGTCATTGGCACAATTTTTTTTTACTGAACATTAATCAGCCACCCTCTAATTTTATAACTGCTAATGGCCACCCCACGCATCTGCATGCTCTCCCCTGTTGTTGGAGCTCACGGCCTTGGAGCCCTTTTCCAGTGGGCGCGGGATTCGGAGAGCAGCGCAGTAGCCACTACCCTACAGACGCACGACAAAGATCCCCCCCCCCCCCCCATAGCCTTTAACAGACTGTTGGGGTAAGTGCTGTTAGCGGTGGGTGGCCAGCACCACGCACAGCCACCTTTGTCTGTCCAGTGCGCGTGTTTACACACCGCACCGGGTGCTCGTTTAGAGCCGAGTCGACCGAGGAGGGAGGCCCAGTACCGGTATAGACATTCACCACCGTTATCGATCGTGAGCGAGAATCTTCACTGTTCTCCGGGTTCGAAGCGCGATGCGCTAATCACTGCGCCACCGCTCCCCCCACACGCACACACAAACAGCCACGCATTCACGAGTCTCTGCCCCTCCCCTCCTCCCCGTCTTTGCCTTTTCCCCACTCGAGTGTTCTCCAGCATACCCGGCCCCGCCTTGCCCACCCCTGTGTGCGTGTATCAGTGTGTAGGGAATATAAAAAACACTATTTATAGTTTCGCCTAGTAGTTACTGGCAGATGGCCAACATCAGTTCGGAAGCAACCAATTCCAATATTCTGAGTTCATCCCCAACGGAAAACCAGGTGCTGCCGCGCACTTCTGCACTTCTATAACAAATGTTGTAAGACCGCAGCTTGATTTCATCATTCGTCGTTACCGGCAAAGTTTGCGCCACCGTAGAGACATTTCTCCACCGTGTGGCCAGTTCCGAGCGGCAATGGTTTTTCCGTATGGGAGGGAGCGCTCCCCCAATTTACTGCCTGGGTGTCTGCGAGCAAGGAAGGGTGGCGGTGCGTTTAGATCCCCTACCCCCCGCTGCAGTGACCTCGGATGGCCATGCTGGGAGGAGCGCGCGTGTCCTGGTTTGAAGTTCCAGCACCATCGTAACACGGCGGATCTTAAGGGGGCTTACGGTGATGCTCGCTCTCGCGCTTTCTCTCGACGCCGCTGATGCTCGTCGTCATTCCGGTGGGGGGGGGGGGGTGAAATGAATCGTTAA